GAGCAAGATATCAAGTGAAGGAAAGCAAAATGCTGAGTGAGAGGGGAAATTCAGATACTTCGATTTTACTATAGACTTTAAGCCTTTGCAGTATTCTACTTTTCGAATAGAAATTGCTCGCAAACATATCAGGTCAGCCACCCTTTTAAATACCAAACCATTGTTTGGGTATATATTCATTAGATGTGAAAACTGAATGGTAAGTATTGAAGTCAGGCTTTGAAAAGCAAGAGAAGACAAAATTTTTTGTTAGATCAGTGAGGTTCTTGAGAGCCCTTTCAACAATAGTGTTTGGGACAATAATGTGATATAATTTAGGAAAATTTTAAAGAGCTGCAATGCAGTGATGAAATAAATGTTATCTGATACTGGACTGTTGGTGCAGAATCATGATTAAGCTAAATTGAATTTGCTTGGCTTGAAAAGAGGCTGCACAGTTAAGATAAGGGAAAGGATGGAAAATAAGGATGTAGACTTGATTTTGATACTTTGGAGTGACTGGGACCTAGCTGAACTTGTTAAATAGGAGGCCAGTCAGAATATTGAACTTTGTATGGGAGAGGAGTTTGATCAGTGGAGTTTGTAAAATGGGAGAATATTTTCAGTTCTGTAGGTAGTGGTGTTAATTAGGGTCTCAGCACAGACAATGGGAACACTGAAACACACAGACTGTGTTTCAAAAATTGTGAATTGTATGCCTAGCAGAAGATCTACTAGATGAAAGAAGTAAGCTGTGGGTTCAGAATGGTGTTGAGATTGTGTTCATAGGGGAGGCTGACTTACTCGGAGGTATCTAAGATCTTTGGAATTGCATATGTTCAGATAAAGATTTTCTGCTTCTCAAGAAATTTGTTAGTAAGACATGGGAGAAATTCTCATACTTTGCTAGTGTGCCCTGAAGGAATGCCACTATCTTTGCATCCTTGTATTTCCATTTGGCTGACTCCGTGGTCATGCCTGGAAACAGCATGGCACTTAGGTGAAGATTAAAATCAAATTGGAGTAGACCTTTGTAGTTACTGCCAGCCATTTGATGCATAACCCTGAGTCTGTTACAGGTACCATAAAAGCTCTGCAATGCTTCCTGCAAGGCAACTGGGGTCCATCATGTGAATCTGATGGCAGGACAAAACCAGAATCAGTGAAGTTCATATTGCACTGAGCTCAACAACAAGAAGACCACCCTCCAGAAAATTTTAATGCCATGATCTCCCGCATAGCTGACGGCTGGATCCCTAAGCAGATTACTATTGGGTGTTGTCTCAGACCAAACCGGCGACACGGTGGCACAGTGGTTAGCACTGCTGCCTCACAGCACCAGGGACCTGGGTTCGATTCCAGCCTCGGGCAACTGTCTGTGTGGAGTTTGCACATTCTCCCCGTGTCTGCGTGGGTTTCCTCCGGGTGCTCCGGTTTCCTCCCACAGTCCAAAGATGTGCAGGTTAGGCGGATTGGCTATGCTAAATTGCCCGTAGTGTTCAGGGAGGTAGAGGGTGTATATTAGGTGGGTCATAGAGGGATGGATCTGGGTGGGATGCTCTGAGGTTCGGTGTAGACTTGTTGGGCCGAAGGGCCTGTTTCCACACTGTAGGGATTCTAATTCTAAAAAAAAAACAATATCTATGTGATCATCACAAATCATCCAAGGCACCATCAAAAAAATTGCAAACTACTGTACTGCAGACTTCTCTTGGGAAAATACAGTAATTGATTGATACATGGGGAGGTCAGTACTGAAGCATCAAAGTTAGCTGAGATTGTGCGCTGCTACTTGTGGACATTGATTCTGCACTTGATTGATTAATTGAATCATTTATTGTCACATATATTCAATGTAAAAATACAGTGATAAGTGTGTACCTTTGCCATACATACATGGTACCATTCACATTAACTTTAACATTAACACATCAACTTTCCTTTCCACTGCCGCAGTTCCACTCAGGGCTTTCCAGCCCCTGGCATGTCTCTGCCAGCACCCTGCTCTGGGCTGCCTCAATGACCCGACCTTGCCGCTGATGCCTCGCTGGCCCGCTCTTGATCCGCACCGTCACTCCAGCCTACATTCGATCTGCTGTCACTGCAGGACACAATCCACCCACTCACCTCCCACCACATTGTTCCCAGTTGCAACCTGACTCCTTCCCAACTCCTTAGGTAGGTAGTACAAAGGGGTGGGGATTGGATAAAATTACTACAGACTGAGAGAGGAGGGAGGGAAAAAAAAACAAGAAGAACGAAAAAAGAAAGAGAAAGAGAACTGGCAACCAGAGTGGAGCTCTGAATGGAACGACTTAGCCTGCCACCATCTTGTGAGTTTGTAGTCAAATTATTTGATTAACAAGAGAATTGTAAAATGGTCCAGCATGGACCTGTTTGGTATATTGGTCCTCTTCTAGTGGAGGTACAAAGATGGATTCCAGGTGTGTAGATTCTAAATGAATCATTACTAAAGATGAGAAAGTATTACTAAATTTGTACATTATCTCTTCAGATCTAGGAATGTGCTTTTTTTTTGTTTGCCCATGAGGATGAAAAATGTCCGTTCCTGGAATGAAATATTCTGGACCTGAAGCTCTGCACATTCTATGTCAGTATAACAAGGCGTACATTCTCTCCTTTGTTTCATCCAACTATTTAATTTATCATAGAATCCCTACAGTATGGAATGAGGCCATTCATACCAACCCTCTGAAGAGCATCCTGCTTGGACACCCTACCAAATCCCGTAAACCCACATTCAGCATGACCAGTCCACCTAACTTGCACATCTTTGGACTGTGGGAGGAAAGCAGAGCACCTGGAGGAAACCCATGCAGAAATGGGGAGAATGTGCAAACTCCACATAGACAATTGCCCAAGGTTGGAATCGAACCCGGGTCCCTGGTGCTGTGAGACAGTAGTGCTAACCACTGATTGACTGTGCCGTTCCACAGCCTATTAAGTTTTTCTCATTATTCTGCACTCAAGTGATGTTTTATCACCTTGCTAAATTGTCAGGCAGATTTGTGTTAAGGTCCCACGTGCATACATTTCATGAGACTGCCCCAGGCTCATTTTTGGTAGAACCCTTGGAATTTAGGTCACAGTGGAACATAATGTGCCATTCAATAATAAGATAACCCATATACGAACCATCCAGGTTTCCCATGTAGTTTAGTGCTTCATGAATCCAATCTGCAAGCCCATTTCCTATCCATGTCTGTTGCTGTGTGAAGAGGTTTCAGCCCCTGCAATACATTGCAGTTGAAATTCCAAAAGTAAACACAACATTCTGGAAATATAGAGCAGTCCTGTCAGCAGCTGTGGAGACAGAAACAGAATTAATGTTTCGGATTGTGACCTTTCATTCCTACCTGCCGTCAGAATAACTTCAAGCAGAAGCATGAGTCAAGTAGGAGTAATGTCAGGAAAATGAATAGGAGAGGTAAATAGAACTGAATAGGGAAGAAACTGGAAGAATGATGACTGGAAGGAGTGGAAAATAGGCAGAAGACACTTCGGAACAGGAGAGAAACTGGGAGCAGTACTCTGAAAGGAGGGAGGTTGTGCCGCCAAAAATTAAAGGATTGATCTGTTGGAGGGGGAAGGGTAGAGGGGAATACTTAGAAAATATCACTGTGATCTGAGAGGAATGGGATTGCTTTTGTATTAATCTTCGGAGGATGAGAATGTTCAATTAAAGTGCGGCAGCTTAACTGGAAATGGAAGAGAATCATTGATTGTTGAAAGCTTACTTACTTTGCACAATTCTGAACTTGCTGCCTTTGCCCTTGCTGCCTTGCAATGATCCCATGGTGAATAAGTCAAGAATAAAAACTCCTCTCTGATTGGAGAATTACTTTCAAAAGTAAATTTCTTTGACTTTTTTTTCACAGCTGGTAATGGAATAGTGTCCAATAAAGTTAATGAATAGAGTCTACAGCATGGAGACAGGCCCTTTGGCCCAAACTTCTCTGTGCCCACCAAAATGTCCTTTTGCCTTCTTTAAACAGAAAGTTGTAATGATTGTTTCCTGTAGATTCCAAAATATTAGAAAATGCAGCAACATAAGTGAAAGAAATCAAAAATAACTGGAGTTCAAGGGCTGGAACATAACTGTTATGCATTCAATGTACGAGAGTAATTTGGTCAATGTTCACACAATCTTAAGGAGCTTAGATAGGGTAGGTAAGATGAGCCCAGGCCAAGGAGGCGTAAAATTAGAGCATCTCAGGACTGAAGTTAGGGAACACCCGTACAATCGATATTTGAAGTCAAGATCACAAACTGCAATTGTCAATTCTTAGATTGATAGATTTTTATTAATCAGTTGTATTACGAGGCTTTATTTGGCAATCAATACATGGCAGATCAGCTGTGATCTCAATGATAGATCAGCTTGGCTAAAATAGTTTTGGGCGATCTTTAAACTGAAGATAAGAAGGTCCCCGGTGCAAGGTTTGATTTTGGCAGGAATTGTGATTGTTTAGGTTTATTGTGGCTCAGTGGTAATGTCCCTGCCTCTGAACCAGGAGGGCTGAGTTCAAGTCCAACCTGCTTCAGAGGGTGTGATAATATCACAGGTTGGCTTAGAATGATGGTGCAGGCTTGAGAGGCCAAACCCTTTCTGTTTATATTTCCTTTGAGAATTATATTCATTTCCTAAGTTGTCAGGTTTCCAAAGGTTTCATTAGTTTGTTGGTTTTCTGGTTGCTATCAAATGAGCTGTAAATAGAATTACCCAACAGCTATTCGACCTTGGAACTAAATTTCGAACCATGTCTTGAAAATTACGTTGGTTTAAGCAGGTGATTTGGTGGTGGGTCACACAAAAAAAACTAAAACGCTGTTTGACGTGCTATTCATATCAAATTTTAGTCGTGACATCTGCAGGATCTGAAGGCTAGTGTACAAGGCGGAAGTGAACCCGAGAAGGGCGGAAGTGAGTTCAGTGGATGGCGGTAACAGGGCGGGACTAGGAACCATGGAGAAGTGGAGCGAAGCGGAAGTAAGTCCCGCGGATGATTGTAGCGGGGCGGAAGTGAGGCCCAAAGTGGAGCGAGCGGGACGAAAAGGCGTCTGAGCTAAATCTGGTTTAAGGGGAGGGTTAGACGGGTAGACATTAATTTGAAACCACCATGGGAGTATCAAATGATGCGGATAAGATGCTGTTCATCGGGAATCTGGATCAGAGAGTAACGGAGGAGCTTCTGTTTGAATTGTTTCTGCAGGTGGGCCTAGGCCTAGTGAGGCCTCGGGCTGGAGTGAACTTGTCTCCGCTTCTTGCTCAGGGGCTGTTCCTTTTAATTTTAAATCCAGTTTCATTTTTGTTTCCGCGTTTACTTGGTCAGTTTGATTTTATCGCCGTTTAATGAATCGGCCGAGCCACTGGTTATTCGGCTTTGTGCAGCCATCAGCAAAATCTTGTGTCTGAAATTTACCGACAATTTGAAATAAATACCCACATATTTCCCATCCAATCAGCCAGCCGCACGTTTCATTCGTGCTGTACAACTTTGGTTATTTTCACTTCTGAGACACTTGAGCAAATTTTCTATTTACTGGTTGATTACATACTTAGCAGACAGGTTTGTTTAAAATTCCCCAACTACACTCTGAATCCCAAGGCACTTTTTCAAAGTTCATACTTTTCCCCTCTTTCCCGCTACTTGATTTTAAATATAAGTATCCTCCCTCATTTCGTTTTTTTCTTTGCCAGTCTGGCCCACTCCTCGCCGTAAAGATCCCCAAGGACAAGGATGGAAAATCAAAGCAGTACGCATTCGTGCATTTTAAACACGTGGAGTCCGTCCATTATGGGAAAAACTTGTTGAATGGAATACAACTCTACGGAAAGGCTATCAAGATCCAGTTCAGATCAGGTAAAGTCAGAAAGGCTGAATTACTCCAGTTTATTTCCGGCCTTATTGGGTGATGGCTTGAATTCCGGTAGGCTTCTTTCATTTTTCGTCTGCTTGCTTTTAATTTGTCACTGCACCTTTTTCTGAATCGGAGAGAATATAAACCTGTCCAAGTATGATATTTGAACTGGTTGCAGTAAAGGGAGTTAAGAGGTATTTCCATCGTGTTATGTGGCACTGTTACTGTGCTAAATGGAACAAACTTCGCACAGATCTAGGAACTCAAGACTGGGTATCCATGAGGCACTGTGGACTATCAACAATACTGGAATTATGCTCCAGCACAATCTGTAGTCTCATGGCCTGGCATATTCCCCATTCAACCATTACTGTCAAGCCAGGGATCAACCCTGGCTGAATGGAGAGTGCAGAGGGCATGCCAGGAGCAGCACCAGGCATACCTGAAGATGAGAACTACTTGTATGCCAAACAGCATAAGCAGCAAGTGATCCTACAACCAAAGGTTCGGATCTAAGGTCTGCAGTCCTGCCACATCCAGTCACGAATGGTGGTAGGCAATTAAACAATTCATTGGTGGAGGAGGAGGAAGTTCCACAAATATCCCCATCCTCAATGATGGAAGAGCCCATCAGTGCAAAAGATAAGGCTGAAGTTTTCGCATCACTCTTCATGGTTGAGTGGATGATCCATCTCGGTCTTCTCCAGCAGCCCCCAGCATTACAGATACCGGTCTTCAGCCAATTCGATTCACTCTACGTGATATCAAGAAATGGTTGGAAGCATTGGATACTGCAAAGGCTTCTGGCTCTGTCAACATTCTGGTAATAGTACTGAAGACTTGTGCTCCAGAACTGGCTGTTCCCCTAGCCAAGCTGTTCCAATATAGTTACAGCACTGTCATCTAACTGACAATGTGGAAAATTGCCGAAGTATGTCCAGTACGTAAAAAACAGGGCAGATCCAATCTGGCCAATTACCGCCCCATTATTTTACTGTCTATCATCAGTAAAGTAATAGAAGGTGTTATCAACAGTGCTATCATGCAGCACCTGCTCAGTGATGCCCAGTTTGGGTTCTGACAGAGCCACTCAGCTCCTGAACTCATTACAGCCTTGGTTCAAACGTGGACAAAAGAGCTGAATTCCAGAGATGAGGTGACTGACAGCTCTTGACATCAAGGCTGTATTTGTTACGGAGGGGTGGTTTGAACCCTTCTGATAATTAAAACCAAAACACCCAGAAAAGGTCGCTTCACCTCATAATCTGTTAAAGGAAATGGGGGAAAAATGGTGTAACCTGCCTCACACCTCCCAATCTGTTATAAAGGAGAGGTTAAATGAAATGAAATTCTTTCGCTCACTCTAATCAACAAGTAACAATTTATTTATCTAACTCTTAACAGTGAACAAATTAACAGAACAAAGCAAACAACTTCCCTTTAATTACTAACTATTCTCTAATAAAACAAAATTCTAATGGTATGCTGTTCCAATAAATACAAATCCTGCTTATATAATCCAACGTAATAAGAAAACAAAAATTAAAACTTAGACTCTCAAAACTACAGTCAGGATGCATCTTCTGGAGTGCTCCGTGCCTCTGGAGTGCTCCGTGCCTCTCGGCTGATCCTCAGCCAGGAACACCTTTCTCTGTTGAATTGTGATATCAGGAATATTGGCTAAGAGTGCCGTCGTACTTTTTTAGATGGTGCTTAATCAGACAGCCTAAAGATTTCTGTGAGGGCCAGAGTTTTACTCTTCTGATGGCACTTCTCTCTCATCCTGATTTTCAAAAACCCTTTTATATACCCTTGATGTCCTGTCAACTTTCTTATAATAGGATTGGTTCTAGGTTGTTAACACCATCAGATTTAAATTCGATTGGTTTTCAGTCTCTTAAGTGCCTGGTTTAAAGTAATTGGCTGACATCCAAGCTGGTTGCCTTAACATCAAAACAAGCCTAGGTTTTCAACCACACAGTCAATTGATACATATGGTTTAATTTCAGAACTGTCTGTACATCTGCAGCTGCTCCAGACACTTTTGTCTAAATCTCCAAGCTTAGAAAAGCACATCACCTCTTAAAGGGCCTACACACTTTTTTTTTTTTTCTTTTTTTTTCTCCCCACCCCATCACTTTTTTCACAAACAAATTCTAACTTTCTCTCTTCCAATTCACAAGTACTCTACACAACTTCACAACACAGCTGACTGAGTGTAGCATTAAGGTGCCCTAGTAAAACTGGAATCAATGGGTATCAGGGGACAAACTCTCTGCTGGTTTGAGTCACACCTGACACATAGGAAGATGGCTATTGTTGTTGGAGGTCAGCCATCTCAGGACATCTCTGCAGGAGTTTCTCAGGGTAGTGTCCTAGGTGCAATCATCTTCAGCTGCTTCATCAATGACCTTCCCTCAGTCATAAGGTCAGAAGTGGGAATGTTTGCCGATGATTGGTGCCGAACATTGCAAATTCTTGACTCCTCAAACACTGAAGCAGTTCGTGTCCAAATATAACAAGATCTGGTCAATATCCAGTTTTGGGCTGACCAGTGGCAAATATTTGTGTCACACATGCCAGGCCATGACCATCACCAAGAAGCAACAATCTCACCACTGCCCCTTGACATTCATTGGTGTTACCATCACTGAATCCCCCACTGTCAACATCTGAGAGTTATCGTTGGTCAGAAGCTCAACTGGACTTGTAGGTCAGAGGCTAGGAATACTGCAGCCAGTAACTCACCTCCTGATTCCTGAAAGCCTGTCCACCATCTACAAGGCACAAATCAGGAGTGTGATGGAATACTCGCCACCGACCTGGATGAGTGCAGCTCCAACAACACTCAAGAAGCTTGACAAGTATCCACAAGCATCCATTCCTTCAACCGCCGACGCTCCGTAGCAGCAGTATGTACTATCTACAAGATGTACTGCAGAAATTCACCAAAGATCTTCAGGCAGCACCTTCCAAATCAACAATCACTTCCGTCTAGTAGGACAAGGGCGGCAGATATATGGGAACACCGCCACCTTCAAGTAGCCCTCCAAGCCACTCACCATCCTGACTTAGAAACATATTGCCATTCCTTCACTGTTGCTGGGTCCAAATCCTGGAACTCCCTCCATAATGGCATTGTGGGTCAACCCACAGCAGGTGCACTGCAGCGGTTCAAGAAGGCATCTCACTACTGCCTTCTCAAGGGCAACTAGGAACTGGCAACAAATGCTGGCCAGCCAGTGATGCCCACATCCCACAAAAATGAACAACAGAAACTACCAATAATACTGCAATGGATCCATCTAAAAATGAGTTCAATTATATATGTATCTTTTGTGGAACCAATTTTGACTTTGTATTGGATGAAAAATTCTTCCTCAGCATGCATACTCTTAAGTTTTTAAGTATAGAAGATGGGTTTTGTGCTTTTATGGTAGAAACAACTGCTTGATCTGGTACCTTGCAAATGGGCTGTGATATTGCTGTCACCATTGGTCTTCAGTGGATAGAGGTCTGTGCTGAAGATATTTTAGATGATTTTTATTGCAGTGGCAATACTTCTGTTTAAACTGTTGCAGGGGAAAGAAGTGATAGTAGAGAATTCAAATTGGTTACGAATGGGGAGAGGCAAGCAACATGATGGACATTAAATCTTAATAGGAAGCAAACTGCCATTGATTTAACATGTCATTCCAAATGCAAGAAAATCAAAACAAAATATTGTATTTAAAATTGACAGTAATTTTGTCTCTTGTTTCAAGGTAGTGTCCATGAATCTCGGGAAGGAAACCAGTCTCAGAATTCAGCTGCTACTTTCACTCCTCCCTACAATTCTAACCAGTTCAGCAATAATCGGTACAAACATTGTTTTGTGATTGTTCAGCTATTTTGTTTTCAGTTCTGTATGTTAGCTAAGAATGCAGTCTATTTGCTATATTTGACTTTTAAAAAGAAATGCAATCCACTTCAAGTAGGAAGAACTTGTTGGAGGAGGCTTTTTCATAAGTTTAGGATTGCTGAATATAAATCTGTCAGGATTGAAGCTGATGTGGATATTGACAGTACTCATTTATGTTTGGGAAATGTTAGCAGTTTGTGCTTGATTAGATTTTTCACACAACTATAACTAATGTAAAATTCACCCTTGATGCAAGTGGGCATCACTTCCAAGGTTAGTACGTGCACTACATTGCAGCTGTGGAATAAAGTGGTGACAGGAAACACTTGAGATGCTAAGCATTGTATTGAAGATCTTACGATTATTTAGGTAAATTTGAATGGATTCGGATGAAATGCAATTTTAGTCACCATTCATTTTTAGCTCATTATTTATGAGCAATTCGGGCAATGATTGGAAATCAGTACCTTGAGATAATAGTTAAATAAGATTGAACAATCACTCAGCAGGTAAAACACCATGTCAAATAAAGATTTTCCCGGCTCTGAGGAAGGGTCACTGGACCTGAAATGTTAACTCTGATTTCTCTTTACAGATGCTGGCAGACGTGCTGATCTTTTCCAGCAATTTCTGTTTTTGTTAACTATTTTCCCATCATTGTCCAAGACAGGGTGTGCCTTGTCCTGTGCATTACTGCATTCATTTATTTGTAAAGATATTAATACATAGAACATAGAACAGTACAGCACAGTACAGGTCCTTCGGCTCATGATGTTGTACTGACTTATTATCCTACTAAGATCAAACTACCCTGCATACCCTACATTTTACTATCCTCCATGTGCCTATCCAAGAGTCGCTTAAAAGTCTCTAAAGTATCTGACTCCGCTGCCGGCAGCGCATTCCACACACCCACTACTCTCTGTGTGATGAACCTACCTCTGACATCTCCCCTATATCTTCCTCCTATCACCTTAAAATTATGCCCCCTCGTAATAGTCATTTCCACCCTGGGAAAAAAATCTCTGACTATCCACTCTATCTATGCCTCTCATCATCTTGTACACCTCTGTCAAGTCATCTCTCATCCTTCTTTGCTCCAATGAAAAAAGGCCTAGCTCCCTCAACCTTTCCTCATAAGACCTGCTCGCCAGTCCAGGCAGGCATCCTGGTAAATCTCCTCTGCACTCTCTCTAAAGCTTCCACATCCTTCATATAATGAGGTGACCTGACCTGAACACAATATTCCAATACCTTGTGTATGTGTCTTGCTCTTGATGACAAAAGCCACTAGCAGTAATAAACTATATGCATTTAGACTTTTATTGACCCTTTATTGCCCTGGACCCTATGACCCAAAGGTAGCACTTTATACCCCAACGTTGTTACATTTTTAAGGTGGATTTGGGGGTGGAAGTGGAAAGAGAAGTGACATTAGTAATAAATTGTTGTGGAGGATTGGAGATCGGAGTACACCCATGGTGTTGCTTTTGCAACATTGACATTATTTGGATTTGAACAAATTCCTGTAGTTCTGAACATTTTTGTTTCTCTTGGCTTTTCTTTTGTGATCTTATTGAAAATTCTCTTGTTTGCTCTGACAGGTTTGGCCGTGGTACGGATAATATGGGTTCTCCAATCTTTGCGACCCCACAGCCAGTACAGAAATCATTTTCTTCACCTGATAACCTTCAGAGGCAGGTTGTGGTAAGTAAAAACACATGGTGTGAAAATTATTCTGAATTTTTAATGAAATTTTTACTCTACCAATTGTACACTAAGTCATTTATCCTACGTGTTATGCATTAAGTACATACTGCACTTCATCTCTAAAAGTAAAAATTAGGTGAAGCAATAACATGGAGATTTGGTTCCTTTTAAGAACCGCTATAATCCCTGGTGAGACGTCCAAATTTGATTATGATCAGTTTAGGAATTGTTAAATGATTTGAAATCTGTTATTTAGGGAATAAGTCCGCAAGATTTCACAGTTTGTTAGCAAACATGAAAGTTTTAGGGTACGAAAGTCAACTAAGCACATCCTGGACAATCATCTAGAAGTAATGAGTGGTAATAATGGATTAATTGTGGTGGAATACACCACAAACTGCATGTCAAATAGTGGGTATGACCAAGGTAGATCCCACATACCAGCAACTAGCCAGTCAAGAGTGATCACTGAATCACAAAATATTTTTCTTTAGAGGAATTATGTCTCCTGTCTTTTTCAAAAATTTTAGCTTCTGGTTGCCCTCAAAAGTTGCTCCAACCTAGACTCTTTTAATGACTGCCTTCCTCCCAGTTACTTAATCTCTTCTCCTGAGACTGTTTGCTGGATTCACAAAGTTGTACTACAGCATTAATTTATCATCCCAGTTGTGACTTCTCCAGCTGTCCTGAGCTGAACCTTGCTAACTGCCAGCTCTCTAGCAGACATCTTTGTTTCAACTTGGCTAGTAAGTGCCTGAGGCGTCCCTGAGACCAAACTAACAAGGAGCACAGAGTCAGTGATTGTCTGCAGCCTTCTCAGCTTGCAGCTGGCTTCTCTGAGCTCCAACTGCATGGACCCAAGTAATAGCAGCATATTTCGCTGCATGAAATCTCTTCATGCCCCTTCTGATTTAGTACTCAAGACGACTGAACTGATCTGTATGACCTATTAAAACCCTCCCACAATGTCACACCCCTGTTAGTGGCAGGATCTAATGTGTCAACCTGGAATATTTTGTTTTTTATATATTACTTCATAGGATTTGGGTTTCACTGGCTTGACCAGCATTTATTGCCTGTCTGTAATTGCCCAGAGGGCCGTTAAGAGTCATCCTTTTTAGTTTGGAGTCACGTATATGGATGTGACCAGGTAAAGCTGTCGGTTTCCATTCCTAAAGGACATTAGTGAACCAGAAAGGTTTTTCCTGACAATGGGCGATGGATAATGATTTCATGGTCGTCATTAAACTCTTTGTTATTGAATTCAAGTTCCACCATCTGCCATGAACATTACCAGGGTGTCTGGATTAATCGATGAGGCACTAATCATAATACCACTAGGCCATTGCCTCCTCTCCTTTCATAATCTTTAGTCAACTATTACTCTTCTCAGCTTCTGAATTGCTGAAACAAAAAATAATGAATTCATCACAGGATTCACGTTTTTTTCCCATTCATATCCTCTCTTTATTTTAAGATAAATGTAATTTTGTGTTGTTTTTGTGTCCCTATTCTGGAATTATTTGTATGACAAAACATTTCATATTAGCATGCTTTGACTCTGGAAAGTTCCCACATATTTGAAACTAATTAATGTAGCATCTTTTGTTCAAGAAGGAAGGCAGAAAAGAATAGATTAATTCACCTAACATCTGTCCTATGGAAATTGCGAGAATATTATCAAAGAGTTTAAAATAGGATACTTGGGAAATCATAAGTATGAAATGGCAGTGTTGACATGAATGGTGTTGAATTTCTAGATCAGCCATGACCTCAACAAATAGCAGAGCTGGCTTGAGGGGCTCAATGACTACTCTTGGTCCTAATTCATATGTTTACATATGTTTTCTATATGGGGTGTGGTGTTGTTATCTAGGCCAGTGTTAATTGCCCATCCCACATGCCCTTGAACTGAGTGGCTTGTGAGGACATTGAATAATCAATACATTGCTGTGGTGTGCAGTCACGTGTAGGCAAGACCTGGTAACAATGGCATATTTCCTTCCCTCAGGAGTGTCATTGAAACAAAATGAGTTTATCTGATGAAGGGTCTAGGCCCGAAACGTCAGCCTCTCTGCTCCTATGATGCTGCTTGGCCTGCTGTGTTCATCCAGCCCTGCACCTTGTTGTCTCGGATTCTCCAGCATCTGCAGTTCCTACTATCTCTGATTCGAGTTTATCAAACTGCCATCATTGGTTACATGATTGCCATTGAGCCAGTTTTATTCATTTGAAATTTCACCACCTGCCATCGGATTTGAATCCATGTCCCCAGAACATTAGTCTCAGTCTCTGGATTACTAGTCCACATTACCACTACTCCCTTACCACTACTCCATCATCACTCCTGTAAAAATGATGTACCTGTTATAGTTCAGTTTACAATATTTTCTGTCGGGTTACACCCAGTCTTGATTTATAGACAGGGGCTCTTTCCTTCTCTGCCTGTTTCAAAAGAGCTAGCCAATTAACCTTACCCTGCAATCTATCTGCAGAGGCCAGTCAGTCTGTCTTTTATTTCTTTTCCAAGGATTTATCCAACTCCTTTTTGAAAGTGTATTTCCCTACCTTAATGAAAATGCTCCACTTCTCTCTTTTTGTTTTCCAATTGAAACTGTATCATCTAGTTAGAGTTTCTTTTTGAGATGGATCAAGCGGTCCTTTCTTAGCTGTGATTGAATTGTGCTGATATGTAAACAATTTGATTTTTAACTTGCAGGTGAACAACATGTGGCAGCAGGCCAGGGGAGGGCAGCAGAATTACACTCCCTCACTTCAGCAGGCTAATGCTAACAATCGATCCACTCTGCAACAATCCTATCGAGGTACATCTTCTAACCAACAAGCCACACCTCAGAATTATAGCACCCCTTCACAGCCACGGTCATCCAGTCCAAATTCACGAATGATGTGGCATTCTGAAAAATCGACTTCAAACACTCAGAGGCAGCAGAGCTATTCATCCTATCGATCAGATAATGGTTATTTCACTCGAGATGCTCACTTCCAGGATCACAATTCAGAGCAGTATTATAGAGGAAACCGTGAGCCAGAGTTCCAACATGACCAAAGCTCACAACACAATAGACGTTGGGAGTATGATTACAGGAGGGAGCACTCTCGCAGCAACAGACGTCGAAATTGGTAATAAACTTACACTGTCAGTTTGGGATTGAGTTAATCCCTTTCTCTCTGAACGTTTGGAACTTGAGTGAATGTTCAGTGAAAGCAAACGAAGCTGGAATACTTCCTGATGTTAAAAAAAATTATATACATAATTGTAACTTTGTCTACGGGCAAATTGGGATGACTGCACGAATGTTCCCTGTTTGTATAATATAAGACACAGAAGACCTCTTAGCCCATTTATCACTCTAATCCTGTTCCCTTCCCACTTGTAAACTTATCCAACCCCTTAATGCTAATTTTTGTCTCAGTAGCTACTTGTGATTTTTAAAAAAAAAAAATTTCTAATGGTGCTTTGTCTGGAGCGGAGTGAGGTGACGCAACTTTCTCATCTGATTCTGGTGACCTTTAACAATGTGACCTGCTTTGGTGGTAATTGCATAGTGAGATGTGCCAGTAAAATGAAAATGTTTTTAGAGTATTAAGTATGCAGCAGAGGAGTAACATGTCAAGAACATGGTTTTATGTTCGGTTCAGACTGCATGTGTGGAATCTACTTAGTTATAATGCAGATTCAAGACTTAAATGAGTGCCAAAGCGGATAGAAGCTCTGTACTTTTTAAAAAAAATGTTGTGCAGACCACAGTTGTACTAAGTCTTCCTTCCTATTCTGTTGATGATTCATTGAGACACTGACTTTTCTTGTTGAGCAGTGTTGCTTCAAAGGTATTAGTATGATGAACAGTTGATTGTAATGTTATTTTTAGCCTGCCTCCAATGTCGGTGCTCCTCCAGCCAGTGCTTTTTTTAAAAAAAATTTTGTCAACTAACTGGCAAGTACAGATGCAGCATTCTGCTCAGCTGAGAGGGACTGCCGACTGATGAGACTTCTGTAAGCAGCATTAGGGCTACTGAAAAAAATTAGTTATTAAACTGGATCCACAAAATTAATTTATAGGTACATCTGATATGCTAATTTTTAAATAGTGTGTGATGAACTCACTGAGGCATAGACAGTGCTATTAAAATTGCTTAAAAGATTGGATATCTGTTCATACAGTAACCACGCAATAAATAATTTTTTTTTTAAACAAAGGGAAAAACTTGTCAAGCTCCAGTAAAGCAATCAGACACAGCAAGGAATTTCAAGAATGGCAGATGATAGTTTGAATCTGCTCATTTATGTAAATTGGCTCTTCTCTCTATGCTGGGAAGTAGCATGCTCCTGATAGAAGTTTAGTGCAATTGCCATTTGTTTAGTGTGGAGTGCAAGAATTCAGCATGTGCTCTGTCAAACCAACTCTGATCTTGGTGACAGAATTATAAAGCACAATTGGGATGCATAAATGTAGGGAACTAGCGGGTGACTTCAGCCTCTTGCACCTCATACTAAATAAGTAAATGTCATGTGCCCAATTGTCAGTGCCCGTTTATAAAAGTTGTTGCTGTTTTCCTGTTTCTCGGTTTGTACTGATACCCACAAGATAAGTGGAATCACCATATTGCTGCCGTGAAGTGGTGTTGGCCCTTTCAGTGACAGTATGGGTCCTTTTCAAGGAATAGTGCTGTATGGCAGGAACATTCTAGTTAGAATAAATTTAGAGAGCGGATATTTCCTGTTGATGGGTATTTAGTTACTAATTTTTGTCTTTAGTTTTCTCATTGTTTGTGTTAAAATTGCACCTAACCAAATTTTTACTGTTTTTATTGTCCACTGAAACAAATGTATATATTGTGTTTTCTTGTGTACCTTTTTACAGTTGTAATAATTTAATAATGTATTCTCTGGTCTTCAGTTCACCAGCAAAAAAAAAGACAACCATTCAGAATTTAAAAGAAAACATTTGTGCAGGTTTTTAATATAACCATTACTTTTCTTTAAAAACAAAATAAAACCCTGTTTTATGTAGGCGAAACAGGGGTGTACGTACTTTGCACCTGCTTTATTCGACAAAAAGTTAGGGAGACTATCATGAGGATCACAGCAAAAGATTCGCAATGTCCTGACCAGTCAGTCTACCTTCCTGTTCTGAGGTTAACCAGCTAATTAAGATGGACAGTTAATAGTTCGTACTGCTGCTCCTCTATATCAGTTGACACCCTCTTTTCATGCTGTATAAATTAGTGTTGCCTTTCAAAGTTTAGTTTCGTGTCCTTTATCCTGATGAGTTGAAAATTAAAAGTTTCGACTTTACTGTATCTTATAGCCACGTTTTAAAATAACTGAATTTTTTTTTCTGATAACTTAACTTGTAGCTTCTTTTGTGTACTTCCAAAATGGGTGAACAAAAATCTTGGTTTCTTTAACTTGAAGTCAATTGTTGCAAGGTCTTTTGATTTTGTTTCCCTGTGTTTTTGACATGGGAATGTTAGCTGTTGCCAGCTAAGGAAGAGGAATCTTAAATACTAGGAGAATTGCACTGCTGTCTAAATTTCAATGCTATTTAGCTGTTGTACAGCTTGTAATTAGTCGGTAAATGTGCAATATTTTTAAATATATCATAATACATTTTTGTAGGAAGACCTGCTTGGGTCAGACTTTATTGATTCCTGATAAGTTTGGCATATACACTGTTATGTGATTCTATGTAATTGGTATTGTTCATGTACCAGAAAAGTTTGATCTTAAATGTAATATCCATTTAGGATTTTGAATTGAAATTCTTTTGTGTCTAATGAATTTTGCAAATTACCAACTTTGTCATTTTTTTTCTTATTTTCTCGTATATTGTTGTGAAGACCATACATCCACAGTTAAAACTAGTGACATTTGGCATGTAAAGTGTTTTTATCTTCATTCTTCATGTACATTCTTTGTAAAAGTGAATAGAGATTTTTGGACATTTCAGTGTTAATAATACCCGTGCACAACTATATATTAATTTAGCTCATTGATCATGAGATAATTAGTCATACATGACCAGGTTTAGTTTGCTGATATTCGAGATTGGAGCCATAATAAATCATATCTGTTAGAGTATAAAATTAGAGAGAAGAGTAGATTTAAAAAGATTTCATGAGAATTTGTCCATTTTGGACCGAAAGGAAAGAATAGATTTGAGTTCTAAAATAATAAGAAGTTTGGAATAGTAAAGCTCCAAGTAAGTGTAATGGTCTGTCTATACATAACTAAAAGATTTTGGTCAGGTACAAACAACACTCGATTTATAGAAAACTAACCTTTATATCTCCAAACTAGAATATAGAAGAAGGTAGTATCACAAAGCCCTGGCTACATCTGGAGCAGTGCACTTTTTATAGAGGATGTTGCACTTTTTCCAATATGAATTCTCCAGATTCTTAGGGTTAAGTTGAAAAGATTACATAAATTGGTCATGTAGACCATACTCTTTGGAATGTTAAGGGGTTATTTTGATAGTGATTTTTAGATTGTGCAAAAATGAAACTTCTGGTTGGGGCGAAGAGTTCGGGATAAGGGAACAGAAACTTAAAATTAGAGCCAACTTATTTACTAGAGAAATTATGAATTACTGAAGGAGTCATGAATATTGGAATTCTGAAAAATTTTGAAGAGAAATACAGAATTGGATGGTAAGGATAGACTATATAAGAAGGATTATTTCCTTTACTAGAGATGTTATTAAATAGATGCAGAGGTTTGAAGTATTTGGCAGTAGGAATAGAGGGACAGTGAGAAATGTTTGCTGACAGATGGAGGGTATCTGGAATTCAGTGTCTCAGAGTGCTAGACATAGAAAACTTCATTAAAAATATCTTTGTATCTCTTACTAATGCACTTGTACAGTTGGTTCCCTTAATCATTGTCATGTACCTGTACTGGACTGGAGTTGGAAGTAGTGCACCGGTTGTTGTTGTCTTCCCCTCATTGTCCCAGTGGCTGCTGCCCTTGCCATTTCTGCTACCACCTTCTTGCCATCTGATAGCTGCAAATTCCAAGAAATATGCCAAAGGCGATTTGGCATCTTGTTGAGGACAGATTGCAGGGTTAAGACTGAATTGGGCTATTAAATGAATAGAGCTTTCCATTATTACGTTAGATAGCATGACTGCACTTTGTGTTTTGAGATTGTGCCACTGCATCACCACAGATTCAAGTAACAAGTCACTACGGTCTACTCCAACGAGTTTACTTACTGATAGTGATGTCATAAGCACTGCAACTACAAGGGCTGAGAGTGCACCCTCTATAGTTTCAGTGGCAACAAATGCAGCCTTTAACTTGAGCTGGCAGAAACAGAAAAGTTAACAGCCTAAGAGGGATGCATTCAACCCATCAAACTTGTGGTAGTCAACCAGATATCACAAGATCCTGGTCTGTTACCCTATTGAATACTGCATTTCAAGTACGTATCCAAGTGTCTTTAAAGGCTGCACGGAAATGATGGACTAAATGCACCCATTCTCCACCCCCGCCCCCATCACAGTGCGGTTAAACTTGCTGTCTGCTAAATCACTTTGAAATGCCTTTAAATTTTGACTATCCAAGGAATCTGCAGCAAAGATAAATAGCAACAATTCTCGTTCAATGATGGAACAGAATGATGGAATGTGTGACAATGGCTTGTTGTTCCATGAATAGTAGTGTTGCATTTGGATACCATTACTTCTAAAAATTGGCTATCAATACAGCTGACATATTTTATCGGAATCAGCTCCAGCAATGTAATTTAATTGAACTGTTCTGATCAGTACTGAGCACGGACCTTTATGAAAATCAGTCAAATTCTGAGGTTAGATTTATGCATAATTCAGCCAGGAGTTACAGTAATTTAAAATAAAACACTTTTATGTAGTGGTCATCAGAATGGCAAGTTGACAGTAGATGTGAGGAGAAAGGTCATGATGTTAGGTGGCTTATGGCTATGTAGTATTAAGAGCAGCTGAGGGCTAGTTGTATGTTGCAGAATTGTTCAGTTTTACATATGTGATGTTTATGCTGCAATTTTTGGTCTCAGTTTAAAGTTTTTTTTACTGTCCTAGTGCATGTTTTATATGCAAGGTAAATCTGTAACTTTGTTTACCAAAAGCAGGGAACCGATGATTGATCTGGGACCTGAAGATGGTTATCACAGATAATGTTGATCTTTTATAATAGATTGATAAGTAATCTGAAATAGAATTTGTGTTCAATATATTGGTTAAATAGATCACGAGGGGCTGACAGAAGTTGACTTTCTTGTCTTTGTTATCCGGTTTATATTCATTTAGTCTCTTTAAACACTGTAGATGTGGGGGAAGAACTGTTATAATGTCGACATCTAAATCTTGTTGGGAATTAAGTTTTTTTTTTATCTGCAGTTGTGATAGTTCTGCCCCATTCAGGATATCCTTCATCTTTAACGACTGACATCCTTGAAACTAAAGGATTATAGTTCTTTCTGTGCTGCCTATACCCCACCATTGTTAAAACAGAGGATGTTAAATTCCATAAATTACTCCAGGACAGGAGTAATCTCAGTGCTGGTGTTCAAGTGATTATGCTCAGGAACAATTTTCAAGTCTGGAATTGTTTTACAACCATTTTTCTTGGCTTTTCCCCCATTATAATAACCAGAGTGCCAAATCTAAATGATATCATCTATCATCAGTATTCTAATCCCTACTAAATTATACTTGCATACTGCTATTTATTTCACACACTGCCTACTTTATCTATGAAGGAGGCCACTCAACTATAAACCAATTAATCTCAGCTGCTTAATCAAGTGACTGTAGAAACTTTGGTTTAAATATGCAAAACGTGAAATACTTACAAAATATAATGCTATTGTGATGAGCATGGCAGTTTTCATGCTTTGTATCTTTGAAATTAACATGCTGCATTTCCACATTTGATGTGCTGTTACGTCAAGCATGTGGAATGCAGCACTATTTAGTTAGTTATCTGTTGCTCAGTAGGCAATACCAAGATCACTGCCACTTTTTAAATCTTGAAACCACACTGCTGCTTTAATTGAAACAACACTTTTAATGTAAGGCTATACTCGCTATATCAGGGACTACAGTATTAGTAAATTAAGACAGCCAGGATGGTAGATTAGCATTAGTCCTGCATATTAATATACAAGCATTGATGTTAGTGATATATTTTACACTTCAGTTGTAAATCCTTTGTCACAGATTAGAACATAGAATGTTTCTCTGACAATAGCATAACTTGTTATGAAATCTTTATTGATGGTGATTCATCTGAGAACAAGGGAGAATGAATACATTAAAATTACATGCAGGTTTGTTTATTTTACTTTTGGGTAAACCTTTAGAATCCACAATATAGTACAATTTATGAACATTTTGGAACAGGTGAATTGTGAGTGGGATTTGTAAACAGTGGCTGAAATGAACTTTTTGCAATCCGGGGTGAAGAAAATATTGTGAATAATCCCAAGTTATAAAATTAGAAGGCATTGGAAAATATGTCTTTGAGGTATAAAAAAATTAATGGTGGATTTCTTGAGATTTAGTGATCTATGAACTGTACGTTTTTCAGACAGGAAAATGATTTGAGAGTTATGATCTTTATTGTTAACATACTTCCAGTGAGTTGTGAATGTTTTCTCAACTTGATCTGCTTGTTGAGCTTCAAGTGCATGCATCTAAGATTATCAGAATGATGGTAAGTAGTGCAACAGATGCAAATTTCCTTTGTTTGCACAGATAGTACACAAGAGACTGAAATATGAGATAACAAGGCATAGAGCTGATGAACACAGCAGGCCAAGCAGCATCAGAGGAGCAGGGATGCTGATGTTTTGGGTCTGGACCCTTCTTCAGAAATGGGGGAGGGGAAGGGGATTCTGAAATAAATAGGGAGAGAGGGGGAGGTGGATGGAAGATGGATAGAGGAGCAGATAGGTGGAGAGGAGACAGACAGGTCAAAGAGGCGGGGATGGAGCCAGTAAAGGTGAGTGTAGGTGGGGAGTTAGGGTAGGGGGTAGGTCAGTCCAGGGAAGATGGACAGGTCAAGGAGGTGGGATGAGGCTGGTAGGTAGGAGGTTGGGGTGGGGCTTGAGGTGGGAGGAGTGGATAGGTGGGAGGAAGGACGAACAGGTTAGGGAGGCGGGGACGAGCTGGGCTGGTTTTGGGATGTGGTCGGGGGAGGGGAGATTTTGAAGCTTGTGAAGTCCACGTTGATACCATTGGGCTGCGGGTTTCCCAAGCGGAATATGAGGTGCTATTCCTGCAACCTTCGGGTGGCACTGGAGGAGGCCCAGGATGGACATGTCATCCAAGGAGTGGGAGGGGGAGTTGAAGTGGTTCACGACTGGGAGGTGCAGCCGTTTGTTGCGAACCAAGCGTAGGTGTTCCACAAAACGGTCTCCCAGCCTCAGCTTGGTTTCCCCAGTGTAGAGGAGGCCACATCGGGAACAGCGGATACAGTATACCACATTAGCATATGTGCAGATGAACATCTGTTTGATGTGGAAGGTTTTCTTTGGGGGTGAGGGGGGAGGTGTAGGGGCAGGTGTAGCACTTCCTGCGGTTGCAGGGATAAGTGCCGGGGGTGGTGGGGCTGGTGGGGAGTGTGGAGTGGACAAGGGAGTCACGCAGAGAGTGGTCCCTCTGGAAGGCAGATAAGGGTGGGGAGGGAAAAATGTCTTTGATAATGGGGTCAGATTGCAGATGGCGGAAGTGCTGGAGGATGATGTGTTGGATCTGGAGGTTGGTGGGGTGGTACATGAGGACGAGGGGGATTCTGTTTTTGTTATT